GTTTTGAGAATGATGAGGGCAATGAATGTACAAATGAGCTTTACACAATTGATGTATGTATGGATTGTGATAAGAGTTGTATGAGCCCCTAATAAAATGACTTTTAAAAAAGTGGTCAGACAGAGCTATGATTTATTCCAACCTTTGTTAGGCCAGGAGTTACTGCCATGCAAGTTGGCCATTTTGGTTGCATATTAGCAGTCATACTTCGAATCAAAGAACAGTAGAGAAATAACTGTTGTAGTGAGGCTATGCCATTAATTCTGGATTTTAAGTTTCTTTTCTCTTTTTTAAGCTCAAAACTTAGAATAATTAAGAGATGCAGAACCACAAAGGGAATGTGTTTGGAAGATGTTTCATTTTGGCTGGCTTATTGTGAAACCACCTTCAGGGCTTCTAAGTGAGCATATCGATCAGGTGGATAAATAGTGAGTTCTGCTGCTCAATAGAGGTTCTCACTTAAGTGATGAACTTAAAACAGTTTATAGCCTTTAATATTTCTTTTTCCTAAGAATTTTATTATGTGAGAGTATTCTCATGTCACTGCCCTGTCAAGTTTGTTCGTAGGAGATGTTATAACAGAAGTTAGGAGTAACACCACCTTTGAGGCCACACAGGAATGAACTTGAGTCCTTACGGTTTTTGGTATTAAGAACTACATTAGCTCTCAAGGATTCAATAAATAGCAAAAGTGTCTATAATCATCATCATTATCATCTGTTGGCTCTCCAGAGCCTTCAAGAAAAATATATATTTACGTTCATAACTTAGTTGAAACCTCCTCTCCGGTCTAATTCTACCCACCCCTGAGTATATTCCCTCATGTCTCTGGGTTCTGGAATTGCTGCAGTGTCCCACAGAACTCAGAAAAGTTCCGGGAAAGGTCTCCTGTGGTGGGGCTGCTATTCTGTCCAAAGTCTGCAGGTCAGTCAGGAGCAAGGCAGATACTGGGGCCAGAGGACAAGCCCCACTTTTGGCTCTTGTCCATGGCAAGATCACATCCCAGGCTACTCCATGGGTTTAGTTTATGCTCAGCAGGATGGCATTATAGGAAATACTGTTCACAATTATTTACAGGCGAATCTTATCAGTATATTCCCCTGCCTTATCAGACCTATGCAGGATAAGGTTGTTGGGTTTCATGGTGCAACCAGATTTCACCTTACTCTCCACCCCTGGACTGTCTCTTATTTATGCATATATGACAGGAACCTCTGGCAAGAGGTCTGCAGAAGACATTGGCCTCCTATTCACCTTAATCAGCCAGGGTTTTTCCTAAGCTATTCCACAAACAGTATTCTTTCTCCTCTCAGTTTAGCATATGATTCCTTACATTCATTGTAAGTAACAGTAACCAAGATAAATGGTAAACAGAGTTTGGTCCTCTGATAGAGTCAGAACTTAATCTCAATTTGTTAACAGATGATGCCCTCTCAAATGGGACTTTTGCCACAGGCAGATGAAAATCTAGAAGTATAATATATAATATAAGGGATTATGGCTGGAAGGACTATATTAATTGAGTATAACTCATATATGTCATGCCAACATATTTTTCAAAGTCTGACTCATTACTTCTCTGTGTGAAGTCCAAATTCCTTTTTAAGATACTAATTCCCTCTTATAATTTTCATTTTTCCACAGTGAAGCATAAATTAACGTTTGGTTTCTTTATAATAACTTCCAAAGGGTACGGGGGTTATAGTTAAGGGTTTCTAATAGGTTTACTTAACTTACTATGAAAAAAAAGAAATAAGTAGTGTAATTTTAGTCAATTAAGAGAGACTTTGAGTACTTAAATGCTCTTCAAGTGCTCTAGAGAAATTTAGTCTGTGGCAGAGCAGTTAGTTAACATTGTACCATCCGGGATAAGCATGTGCAGGGAGGGAAAGGGACAAACATATATACACAAATGAAGGATGTCCTGGTGAACGGATTGTTTTTCTGGTATTCATCTATTATGTACTTTTCCCTGGATTTACTAACATTATTTCTTCTTTTTTCTAACAATTGTTCATGAATCATGACACCTGTAAAATAATTTTAATTGATTAACATGTTGGGTACCTCCTCCCCCACTTTGGCTGTAACTGTTGGCATGCCAGAATGTGAAATGCTTCGTTGAAAAACATGTGACAGTTGAGAGATTTTTTTCAGTGTGTCCCCACACTCAGGGTTATTATGAATTGCAGTCTACTCAATGGCAGTGAGGAGGAAGGAGAATGACAGAAGGCAGCCTAGGGTAAAGTTGCCCGGCTAACTGACTAACTTAAGAACATCCGTAGTTCCCATGCTGCCATCGGTGTGAAGTTTGGGATCCAGGGCAAGTGCTCTCCGCTTGTCATCTCCAAAACACCCCCTGAACAGCTAGCCTGAATTTTCTTCCATATTATCATGTCTGGAATTCAAGGAGAAAAAGAACTCACTTATCCACTGAAGGTGGCTTTATCAAAGTTGTAGCTCTTTTCTGACTTTGTCAGTGCTTCATAGCGGTGGCTAAACTGGTCTAGGCAAGCCACAAAATTTAGACTTTATTCGGTCACTTGTCATTGCTCTTTGGCGCAGTTTGCTTAGGTAGTTGCTATAAAATTCTGCAATTTTACAGAATATTGTGGAAACATTAATTATTGTAATCATGAAGTACACTGAACCATTGTACTCGTCCAACTACC